GTTTCGGTGAGAGGTCATCCTTAATCTAATGTGTCTTAGTTGCTCGACCAGTCCACAGTCAATGCGGTGGAAGAGTTTCTCGTACGGCGCTCACCGTTGTATGAGGCACGTCCAACTGCTCGAAAAGAACCGTCGGTTCGAGGGATGACACCAGTTGTGTTCAGGTCCTGGGACAGATGGGCCTATGGGGTATGGTGGCGAGCTCCGTACAATCCTCAATACTCGAACGTCAAAAGTGGAAAACATCTACATGGGATGGAGTTACAGGTACAGCTATGTCTACAAACGCATGGAGATGGACACTAATACGATGACATTTACCCAGCCGGGCTCTTGATTGGGCAAACAATTAGTAGGTCTCTGTCTCCATGATACGAAGTTCGGTGCTGTAATCATACTACATACTTCAGCGACATTCACCACATATTCGATACAAATGATGCTGTTCCGCATGGCCTCATCGCCATTCTTTAATATCTCACTGCTCACTAGCGACTTCTATGGCTTGCTATTCGGTAGGTTTCCTCCTTTCGGGACTTTCGCAATGCGCTGAGTCGAATGCAGGTCTTTTTCTCTTCGTATGTTATGATAACTCTGCAGGGCCGAAACATCAGTAACCCACACATCTTCAGCATTACTCGCCATACTGGCTATACTTTGTCGCCTTTGCGATTGTGATTTTTGGACTTGTCATTTATTTCTGGCATGCAACACGTACGTCCCCTTGCATAGTGTCAATGAGTCATCGTCTAAGGGCCCTCCACAGCGGAAGAGCAGGGAATGACAAAAGTCGAACTTCCTAAATACCTCAATACCGAGAGTGAGACCAGTGTGGAGGATGATGAAGGACAGAAGTTAGAGCTCTGTGCGCAAGACACTTCAATAGTCCCAACCGGAAGTCATCAGCGCCACGCAGATTAAGATACCATCAGACAGAGACCAAGCAATCACTCCGAGACGAAAACTACTCAGCCTTCCAAAGTTGACACTGCCATGCGCGTGACATCATGTTCGTTCCAATCGAAGCAGAGCACAAGGATATCTATACAGATGTAGCAAGCAGCTTATACAAATTCACCCCTTGCAGATTGCGGAGCCGCCAGGGTACTCACATCGCTAGTAACTGCACTCTTGTGTGACCAAAGGGTTTAGTAGTTTACACTCTTGAGATAATCTGCGACAGAAACCACGACGGGGACAGATTCCGGGTGTTGGATTGGTGCTTTGTACTCGGTAACGAGGACGGCTTGCTTCGTTTTGATAATGGTACAGCCATCGGCCTACGCTAGTAATTTAGAACCACTAGACCCGGCGAATGAAACAACTACTTGCCCCTTTCTTTCCCAAGATTTGGCCGGTAAGCACGTCTACGCTCAGAACAAAGAACTTTTGTCCGGCGAGACGCACACCATTCGCTTGCGTCTCCGCAGGGTTGGTGAATGCATTCACGATGGCCTTCTGTTCTGCCGGAGAGAGCTAAATTGCAAACGGCGCACAGCGAAAGAATGAACTGATCTACCCCACTCTGACAGGGCGTCGAGGAAGACGGTGTGCTTACATTGTAACCAGGCGAAGCTGCCCATACACCACCACTTTGCCCTATGATCGCAGCTTTGGAGACCTTTCCGCTCCCGACCAGGTTATTGTCAACATACGCTGTTGGATGTTATCACTATCACAATTGGACGGAGGTGCGTCGACACACTTTGCCAAGACATCGTCCGACGGAATATAACGACTGTCAGTGAGAGGAGTAGAAGGATGAATTAGATGAATGAAGATGGATGCGGCTGTGGTGGATAACCCGTACACGGAGATCGCCATGATATCGGCTTCCCACATGGCAATATTCCATTTCTGACAATTCCCCTGTGCCAACAAGTGTACTGGCATCGACGATACGTACAGTACAGGCAGATTCCACCAATACATAGATGCATAAGAAAACACGTCAATCATGCATTGACTTCCGTCTCTGCAAGAGCAGCCTCGTTCAGTGCCTCCGCCTCCTCCATAAGCTTCTCTTCCAGAGCCGCCACCCTCGACTCCGCATCCCGCCGCGCTCGTTCCAGCTCTGCATACCTCTCCTGTAGCAACCTCTCACGCCGTGCAAGGACATCAACTTCTTCTTTGAGGGATTCTAATCTGCGGGGACCAGCCACTGCTTCGTTCGACGCCAACCTCGCGAAGCTTTCATAGTCGAGCTTTGTTTTCACGAGCTCGTCGAACGCATCGGTAAGTCGTTTTACCAATGCTTTCGACCGCACTTGGTAGCCGCCAAGCGTTATGCCCAGTTTTTTCTCGATCTTGGAAGTCTTGCTGTCTTCCTTCGTCATCTGCTCCCCGCATTCCCGGAGTAGCGTGTTGTACCCGGCAATTCTGTCCTCAAGGGAGAGACTCTGAGGATCGACCCACGTTCTGCTGTGGGGGTCGAATGCTAGTCGTTGCCGTTGATGCGCCCACGAGCAAGCCTCGTCAACCTCTTCGTTCTTGGAGAGGGTCTGAAGTCCCTCTTTTACCTGAGCTTCTGTGGCAGCCGGGAAACCGATTGAGGTAGCGAGTTGGAAGTGAACCATGGATTTAGCTCTCGCTATGTCCTCGTCCGACGGGAGGACGTAGGAGGAGATGGTGCTACCAGGGAGGTTGGTGCCGGGTAAAGGGTAAGCAATAGAATCATGGAGCATGAGACTTGCCATCTCAGCATTAATTAACTTCCTCGCGTCTGCCAAATCATCGTCCGCTCCAAGATCGAGGTTGCGCATCAACTGCTCTACGTTAACCCGGGCAGGCCGAGGAAGGCTGAGCTGAACAACTTTCGAACGCCTTGCCAGTGCCTTCCTTTCTTCCTCTTCGCGTATGCGTTTCAGCCGAGCGTCCCGCTGTGCGGCATCTTCTTCGATAGCAGGCGTTTGCTCTGCTGGTTCTTCCTCCTCGTCCTCAGGTACGAGCAATTCGAAGTTGTTCTCTGGCTTCGGCAAACTCATAAACCCTGCCCTGAGCGTACGCTTTGCAGAATCCACGCGGAGTCGTTGCTCTCGAGGTGTTTCCCCCCCCGTCACCATGCCAGTAGCCGGATTAATGCTAAGGTTATCCCGCATAGGAGTGCGCAAAGGTGTTGCACCAGCCATGGACTTGCCGTCGACAGTATCACCGGGCAGTGGGGTTGCAAGAGGGTTAGGCGTGAATGCAACCTGGTGGCGAGGAGTGGCACCTTCAAAGCCTGTGCCATCGCCAGTCGGGTGCAGTGGGGTATTCTCGTCACCTAGAAGTGGTGTTTGTGCTATGGTCATGTTACGTAGGTTGCGAGCCTCCAGCATCACATTATCCTCTGAGTTACTGGTTAGTCGTATTCCAAAAGATATCGAGGAAGGGGCTCACGTTGTGGGGCAGTCCGGGGCGTGCGCGCCATTCTAGCACTGTCCAACCCCTCGTACTCGCCTAGGAGCTTAGAGGTCGCCTCACTTCCTCCATTAACCAAAGCTTTCGCATTTTCTCCCGTCTGCCCAATTTTGACGATCTCCTCCAGTTCAGCCTCGCCCACTTGTGCACTTGGCAACTCTAGCTTTCTCCGTCGACCGATGCTGTCCGCCTCCTTCAGCTTCTGGATTTGTGCATCACGCGCAGGAACGAATTTCGTCTGGTGACCTGAACCCTGACCTTCTTTTTCGTTGCGACGCTGTCGTTTTCGGCGCTCGACTTCTTCATCGTCGGTTTTGCGCTTGTTTTCCAGGCGTCGCAGGGATTGGCCAATGGGAGCAGAAGTGACACGAGCTTGTTCTTCCGACGTATCATAGAAACCCGGTGCCGGTTTCTTTTCAAACGGAATGTCCGCATTATACTGCACAACAAGTTCAGCACGAGCATAATAGAAAGACGGTAACGGGTTGCTTACGTCCATGCCCCTTAACTTGGTCTTATGGCGCATACTGTGGACAAGTTCCAGAAGATGTATACGCAAAAATGCGAAATAACTTACATGATACCAGCTGCCTTCAACTCGCGTTTCTTTTGCAGAACGGCTAAGCGCCTTGCCTCTTCAAGTTGACGCTCGCGAGCCTTCCGCTTCGCCTTCTTGCCTTGAGTGTTCGCAAGACGAGCGCGAGCTTCCGACAGCATCTCCTTCTCTACACACTGGTCAGCAGTGTTCGTGAATGCACAATCTTTGACAGTACGTACCATCCTCGTCCATATCGATAGGATCTGGTCGAGCTGGTTTCGTCTCTGGATCAGGGTCGATTTCGCCTGGTCGAAGTCGCCTGACGTCGTCCGCACTCGGGCCAGTATCCTTGGGACCGGTCAATCCCAACTCCTCGTTCTCTTTGGCTTCAGCCTCGTCCAATAGTTTCTGGTAGCGTTCTAGACATTGCGTAGCTGTTCGACCAACAATGGGAGCGATCGTGCGCCACTGCGTCGGCATAAGCTTCGCGAGATGAAGGAGTTTCTCGTCTTCTGTCTGTTGAAGCTGTGAGATGAGACAGGTGTACGTGACGACTCTACGTACCTTTGACCATTCTGTCTTTTTTATTGACGGGTCCAGCCACTCGTACCACCTCGCTTTGCACTGTTTTGGGGTCTTGCGGACGAGCAAGGAAGATATTCGTGCCCTGAAGACATGAGATTCAGTAAATAGGGCGACTGAACACTTGAAACATACCATTGGTTCTTTCCGTACTTGGCTATCGCAGCCTTGAGGACTTCGTCCTCGGTGTTCTGCATGTTTACGAATCAGTGACCAACTCACTAAGACTTCCGTAGTGCGCTGTGCTGACCTTCCAGACACCTGTCAAAGATTGTCAATAGTGCTTCACGAAGGAAGAGATGTGGATTACGGACCTCCCTTGATGATTATTCGAACCATTGTAATGTACAGGCGCGACAAGGATGCGAAAGCAATAACTGCCACAGCCACTGAGCACGGAGTGGTTGGTTGATTAGTCATATCGGGCTGCAATTCCAACTCCGATCTTGACTAATAGGCAGCCCAGCAGCATCTTCACAGCGGCCTTGTAGTCTAGAGGTACGATACTTGCTTTGGGTGTCTGAAATGCAAGTGGCCTGGGTTCGATTCCCAGCAAGGCCCAACTTTTTATTTTCCTTTCAGTCTGTCTGAAAGGGAGTGCAAAGCATAGATAGGCATTAATTGCGTAGTGCGAGATACTTCAACACCATAAACTTCTACAGGATCGAACGTCAAAGGTCAACTTGATCTCATGCTGACTCATGCGGCGTGTGGTCTCTTCAGATTATTTGTTTCTCGGCGGTCTAAGATACTCTAAAGACGTGCCACGAAGTCAGACACAGCATGCTTATTCGAGCTGGCATGGACGAACCATGATTGACAGGGTGCAAATTGTACATCCGATGCAGCTGCAGAACTGCCTGTTCTTTGTCTTTGGCTTCAATCATCAAATCTATCCTTGTCGTTCAGGGTCCGGCTATATATATGCCTAATTGGACCTACCCATATCCTCTGGTAAGCCTTCTGGAAGTGAGTAACAGCGGTCCGAATGTGCTCTTTGCTCCATGATGCCGACTGCACCATCCCTGGGTTCACTGTAGTGCTGCTTAGGTTTTATGCCGCGCTTACGGAAAATCTCGTTCGCCTCTTCCATAATTTGTGCTGGCGGTACGCCAGGAGACGGGTTAAGCATGTTGTGGTGATAATCAAACACCAGTGGAACTTGCAGGTCTTTGCATAACGGGAGAAGATCTGCAGCGGTGTAACATAACTATGCGGTATACTACGGTCACAAGTGGTGCTGCAAGACGGACTGAATCAACGAACCTCGTCATTCTCAAGCACTAAGCGGTCCCGCACGTTCTTCGGCAAATCGACTCGTATAGTCTCTTTGATCCTCGCCAAGGTCGCTTCCTTATCACCATATACGCCGCCCCCGTGGATGACTATTACCCCGTCTGGGCCAACACCGATGAGGTCCAACATTTCGCAATGGTACTCCAACTCTCGGATGCTTGACCGTACTACCGCCTCACGTGGTGAGCCCAGTTGCGTATATTGTCCGGGGTGCACGGTGAGTCGGTGCCCATACTTCTTGGCAAGAGCACCCACCTCCGCAAGGAGAGGGGCGCAGTAGGCGAGCGAATACCCATGTGTTTCATGCGAGGCAAAAGGAAACATGCCGGACGAGCTGGATGGTAGGCGGTTTTAGAAAATCACCACTGACAACAGATTCCGCGAACATTCTCATAAAACGGATATACTAGAGAGTGATATGCATCAGAGCTTCGATGACAACGAGTAGAGTTACGTTACGCTCATTCCACTCAATAATCTTCAGTAAATCCTCAACGTTCTTTCGGCCCAAGTCCTTCACCCAGTCCACGCCCTTTTTCTTAATGGTGTCGATGCTAAAAATATAGCGTGCAAGAATAACATCAGAATGAAGTAGAACGAACCCTGTCACTCACCGACAGGTCCTCGAACAGAACGTCGCCTCGGTGGCAGGCTTCTCATTTCGTAGAAGAGTATTCAAGCATGCATATCCTTGTCGCAACAGGCCATTATAATCCTAAGAGAGCAAGATCACTGGTCACCTACCCAAGCGTCCTCTAAAGATAGTATTCTTTTTCTCGACATCATGTATATCCAATGGAGCAGGACTCAACGCCCGTTTCTTTCTCTGGCTTCCAGTGGAGACGTCCTCGCCCATTAGTTGGGAGTCGGCGATATTCCGTTTCGTGGACTTTCGCCGCCTCGGTGACTTCGCGAGTCCGACATTGTCATCAGTGTTCTTTTCTGAGTCGGGGGACACATGGATCTCGTTACGCCTAGGCCGAAGCGAGTACATCATGTGAGGAGCACCAGAAATACGCTTGACGGCTCTCTGTACGATGATATCCCACTGAGATGTCACTTGCGGGAAAATATGTCAGGGGATCACTTTGAAACCGAGATAATACAGGATTGTTCACTGATGCGTACCAAGTCAAAAAAAATCACACCAATATTAGTTGTGTGCGTGAGTAACCCCTATGTCGTCTCTCGAGCTGTGACGTATGGTAGTGTTACGTAATGTCCACGACGCCGCACGCTCCCCGGACTCTCTATTGGCAGACCTCATCTTCGTGGAGACCATGAGCTGGACAGGGTAAGAGTTGCTTCCACCTGAGTATTCTAAGACAATGGTTTTATGTTTCCTTTCAGATTCAAAAAATCCCTAAACAGGGCAGGAACCACAGTACGCACATTCCAAGTGCCTCAGTCGCACTGGCGACAACGGAGCTGATTTCAGTGTTCTTCGATGCGCAGGTCTTGCAAAAGACTGGTCAGATCGAACGCACAGTAGATCGCGAGTTTGCTGATGAAGAATCAAAGTATAGAGCGTAGGTCTGATTTGGTGTAACTTTTCACTGTGCGCTTGACCTGACCGTTTCCGCTTCAGTTTCGAGAAGGAATGCCAGGCTTTACAGAAAGATAGCAAGAGCTACAATGACGCTATGAGAGGTACGTCCGAGATGATCTTCCTGGGGGCGAATGAATAGTACTGAAGCGTTCAACTAGCGATGACCGCTGCCCAAGCCCGATTGGCGGAAACGATCGAATCCTTCTATGGTGCCGCCGATCGCACCTCCGATAGTGCAATGGCAAGCCACGCTTTCAAGAACGCTGTACAGGATCTGGATGCAAGTGTGCAGAGAGAATTAGTATGATTGTTTTTAACGCAGCGTTGTTTGTATTGACTGTAACTTCCATGCAGGATGCACCCTACCGCACAACCATCATGGAGCCTCTGGGCAAGATGAATGCATATTTCCCTATCATCAACGAACATATAACGAAGAGGAACAAGAAGGTGTCGTTCGATCTTGGTGCAGCTTGTTAATATTTTATTGACGGGTCGGTCACCAAGCTGCTTGACTACGATGCAGCAAGAAGCAAACTCCGTAAGGTGATAGAGAAACCCAGCGATGACCCTACGAAGTTGCCCAAGGTACGTTTCTATTCTACTGGCCTAGTATATCTTATTTCCATTCATTATAATCAAGGCACAACAAGAGCACGATGACACGAAGGAAGTCTTCGAATTGCTCAACGATCAGCTCATAGGGGAACTCCCTCAACTACTGGACCTCCGTGTCCCATACTTTGACCCTAGTTTTGAAGCCATGATACGCATGCAATGCAAATTTGCAGAGGAAGGCTACGAGAAGCTTAGTACTGTCCAGAGGTAGGACTTTCATACGAAGCTTTGCTATCAAATAGCAGATAGTTCTCCAGATACTTTACGGACAACGTGCGAGACGACTACGCCGCGGGCCAGCTGGATGCTCAGGTGCGTCACCTGGTGATGTTGAGTTGGTTTATTTCAGTTGACTTGAAATATCCAGGTTGAAGGTGTTCTGCAAGAGATGAAGGAGTTGTCAATTTGCGGCGGTAACTAGCTCAGCACCCTTCCGTTACTGGTTATGCAGCAGGATTATATATATGATGTTCACGGAGGACTGGAGTGGTTTGGCAGCACCGCCCTTTTCATCCATTGTTTGTACCATACCGACTTAGTATCGACCTTACAGATGGCGGTGTACAACGGATGGCAATGCAACGTAAAATAGTGCTAACTGTATATAGGATCCTAGACCACGCGTGCGATGACATGGACCTGATACGATGCTATGTCAGGGACCGAAGCTGGTCACAGCGAGGCAGCCCAACCAGATCATCTCGGCAGCAGCTTTACCAATAGTCGTCAGGGAGAAGCTCGATATCGGGTCATCCGCGTCTGACGTTGCTTCCGCCGTTTCCATCGTACAAAGCCCTAACCGCGCCAAACCCTGCGGATCGAACGAGAACCCCTTATGCCGACCACGACAATGACATATGACCGCATCAGTCAATCTCTGATCCTGGCATTCGCTCATGAGGTCGAAATCGTTCAATGCTTCCCAGGCAGGGCCGCTAATCGCAAGACCTACACTGGGGATACGTACACCCGAGTGACGAAGGTCATCGTAGCGCACGACACGAGCAATGACGCGGAAAGAGGTAAGGCATATAGGCATAGGTTCTGCGTCATGGGTACTGTCGGAACTCGTATGTGACCCGTGCTTCGACTTCCTTGTCTGTGCTTGCTGTTCGGGATTCTTTGCTTTCGGATCATCATCCCATGGCACGTACCATACGAGGAGGTAATGCCGATTCTCAGGTAATATCGTCGCTGAGGGAGCGCGTGTAGTTGCCGACGTTTCACTCCCGTCCGTCTCGGCATCCAGCTGGTTGACCTCGCCAACCCAAAGAGGAAGGAGCATGTAGAGGCAGTCCTCTGGAATCTGCTCGAGGACGTCTAGGCTACGCTTTCGCTTAGACGTTGATTTGGAGCCCGACTTGTGCGGTTGTGTATGAAGGAGACCGACATCTCTGAAGGAGTTGGTGAGGTCATTAATGACTCGGGCACTCTCCTCTTGTTGCTCGCGTCCGCCTGTGACTATCCATGGGGGCTGGTAGAGGCCAACAGAGGAAGACGGACCTTCAGGCCTCGGAGTGCCGAGTAGCGCACGCCAGATACGTGTGGGGAACGAAGGTCCGGAGTCGGCATTCGGACGATTGGCCTTTGACATGTAGTGTGGGATATCGCTTGGATCGAGTGCTCCAAAAGCTTCTGCGTGGGGCGTGCGTGCGGGCATCCGCTCCTCCTCGGAATCCGCATTGTGTCCCTCGCGGTGATGAGAAGAAGGGACAATACTCGTCACATTTTCTGTGGTCTGGACAGAATCAACAAGGGGAACCGGCGGCTCAGGCGAGGGTGGATGACCCACTGCAGGACCAATTTTTGGTGACGGCTGGGTATGCGACGAGGAGGCGACCGGTGCAGACGCAGCATGTTCACTTGTGCTCCCAGTACTATTTGTAGCCAAATCCTGGCTGCCTGTGCTAGTCTCTTGCTTGGGAATAGTACCACCGCTATTGCTGCTCTTTCCCTTGGTGGTCTTTTTCTCTTTGCCCTTGGTTGTCCCTGATTTGGCCTCACGCGCACGTCGCTTATGCGAGTCCCGGAACGATAAGCCTTGTGTACCCCTGCGACTGCCCCTCGAGCCGCGCAGCTCGTCATCAAGTAAACCATG